GTCTGGCTTCACTGAGCATTGTATTTGCAAGGTTCATCCATGTTGTAGTGGGTGTCAGGACTTCATTCCTTTTAATGCTGCACAATATCCCATTGTGTAGATATACAACATTTTGTTTATCCGCGCATCTGTGGAGGGACGTGCAGGTAGGGGCAAAACTTCATTCTTCTGTGTGTGGACGTCCAGTTTCCCCAGCACTGTGTGTTGAAAAGACTGTTCTTTCCATTGAAATGGTCTTTTCACCTGGTTGAAAATCAATTGACCGTATATACCGGAGTTTATTTCTGGACCCTCCCTTCTATCCCGTTGGTCAATGTGTCTGTTTCTCTTGCCAGGATCACACTCTCGATTACTGTAGCTTTGTAGTAAGTTTTGAAATCGGGAAGTGTGAGTCCTCTTTGTTCTTTTTCAAGATGATTTTTCTATTCAGGTCCCTTGTAATTCCATATGAATTTATTATTATTATTATTATTATTATTATTATTTTGAAGATTTATTTAAGTAATCTCTACACCCAGTGTGGGGCTTGAACTCACGACCCTGAGATCAAGAGTTGCACGCTCTACTGACTGAGCCAGTTGGGCGCCCCTCCATGTGAATTTTAAAATAGGTTTTTCTATTTCTTCAAAAACATCATTGAAGAGATTGCTTCGAATCTATAGATCACTGTAGCTAGTACTGACATCTTAACAATATTAAGCCTTCCAGTCCATGAACACAGATGCCACTTATGTCTTATTTAATTTCTCCCAGCAGTGTTTGCAGTTTTCAGCGTACAAGTCTTCTACCTCCTTGGCTGACGTTATTTCTAAGTATTCTTAGAATACTGATGCTGATGCTATTGTAAATGGAATTGCTGACTTCATTTCCCTTTTCGATTGTTCATTGCTACTGCATACAGGTACAACTGACTTCTCTGTGTTGGTTTTGTGTCCTGCAACTTTGGCTGAAATCATCTGTTAGCTCTATAAGTGTTTTCATGGGATTCGTTAGGGTTTTCTACATTGAAGATCATGTCATCTGCAAATAGAGGTAATTTCATTCTTCTCCAATTTCAATGGCTTTTATATTTATTTCCTGTTTAATTGCTCTGGCTAGTGCTTTCAGTACAATGGTGAATGTTGAAAGCGGGCATCATTGTCTTGCTCCTGAGCGTGGGGTAAAGTTTTCAATCCTTTACCGATGAGTGTGATGTTAGCTGTGAGCTTGTCATATATGACCTTTATCATGTCAAGGAAGTCCCTGTCTATTCCCAGTTTATGGAGTGTTTTTATCATGGAAAGAGGGTTGGATTTTGTCAAATGCTTTTTCTGCATCAATTGAGATGGTCATGCGTTTCTTTTTTCTTCATCCTATAAATGTGGTGTATTAACATTGATTTCTGCGTGTTGAATCACACTTGCATTCCCACTTGGTGCTGGTGTGTGATCCTTTCAATATGCTTCTGAATTCAGTTTGCTAGTATTTTGTCAAGGATTTCGGCATCTAGACTCATAATAAGGGTATTGAACTGTGGTTTTCTTATAGTGTCTTTCTGGCTTTAGAATCAGTAATGAATTAGGAGTGTTTCCCCTTCTATTTTTTGGAAAAGTTTGGGAAGTTAATTCTTCTTAAAATGCTTGATTGAATTCACCAACAAAGCCCTCTAATCCTGAGCTTTTCTTTGTTGTGAGGTTTTCAATTACTGATTCAATCTCTTTTGTCTATTCAGATTTCCTATTTCTTCTTGACTCAGTTTTGGTAGTTTGTGTGTTTCTGAGAATTTGTCCATTGCATTGAGGTTTTCCTATTTGTTGCTGTACAATTGCTTATAGTATCCTCTTATAATCCTTTTTATTTCTTTTTAATCCTTTTTATTTCTGTAAAATTAATAGTAATATCCTCACTTCATTTGTGATTCTATTAATTTGAGTCTACTCTCTTTTTTTAGTCAACCTAGCTAAAGTGTATCAATTTTGTTGATTTTTTTTTAAAGATTTTATTTATTTGACAGAGAAAGACACAGAGAGAGAGGGAACAGAAGCAGGGGGAGTGGGAGAGGGAGAAGCAGGCTTCCCGCCGAGCAGTGAGCCCGATGTGGGGCTCGATCCCAGGACCCTGGGATCATAACCTGAGCCGAAGGCAAACACTTAATGACTGAGCCACCCAGGCGCCCCTAGATTTTTATTTATTTATTAGAGAGAGCACAAGCAGGGGGAGGGGCAAAGGGAGAGGGAGAAGCAGACTCCCTGATGAGCAGGGAGCTCAACTCGGGGCTCGATCCCAGGACCCCAAGATCATGACCTGAGCCAAAGGCAGCCACCCAACTGACTGAGCCACCCAGGTGCCCGTCTACACTAATCTTTATTATTTTTTCCCTCCTGCTAGTTTTTTTTCCCTCCTGCTAGCTTTGAGTATAGTTCGCTGGGCTTTGGGTTTTTGTTTTGTTCCTATTATGGCATCTCCGGAAGGATATATGTATATATATATATTTACATTTAAGGAAATTTCTACATGCCACTGGATGATCGCAGAAATAATACAGACTTTGCAGCTATAGTTTGGAAGTCACTAAATAAATGGAAGATTCACCTTCAATAAGGAAAACTCAACAATTAATGGGGAGCAGGGGAGTGTGATCTTCAGAGCTACATTATACTCTTTATGTTCAGTCTTCAACAGAAAGTACAAAATACTCAAAGAAATAGGAAATATGGCCCATTCTTAAGGGGGGGAAAAGATAATTATACAGAAACCAGTTCTGAAGAGGTGCACACATCAGAATTAATAGACGATGTTAAATCAACTGTCTTTAATATGTGTAACAAGCTAAAGGAAATCAGGAGAACAAGATATGAACAAAGAGAGAATGCCAATAAAGAGACAGGAACTGTAAAAAAGGAACCAAATAGAAAATCTGAAGCTGAAAAGTACAATGGCTGAAATGAAGAATTCACTAGTATTCGCAACAGACTTGAGCATGCAGAAGAAAGGATCAGCAAACTGGAAGATGAAGCCATTGAAATCACCCAATTCAAGAAGTAGAAATAAAAAGAATGAGGAGACCCACTGGCATGCCATCAGGAGTGCTGACATACACATCATGGGTCCTAGAAGGAGAAGAGAGGGAAAGAGGCATGCGTATATTTGAATGAATAATCACCCCAAATGCCCCAAATTTGATGAACGACGTGAATCTGTATATCCAAGAGTCTCAACAAACTCCAAGCAGGATAAAGTCAAAGAGGTCCATGCTAGGACATGTTATAATCAAGCTGTGAAAGGCCAAGGTCAGAGAGAATCTTGAAAGCAGCAAGAAACACGGCTTGTCACATACAAGAGATCCTCAATAAGATTTTAAGCAGCCATCTCATTAGAAGCCTTGCAGACCAGAAGGCGGTAGGATGACATACTTAAAGTCCTGAAAGATTAAAAAAAAACAAAAAAACCCCCCCGTCAACCAAGAATTCTCTATCCCATAAAACTATCTTCCAAAAACAAAGGGGAAAGTAAGATATTTCCTGATAAATAAGATCTGAGGGAGTTCATTACTAGTAGTCGTACAAGAAATGCTAAAGAGAGGGGTGCTTGGGTGGCTCAGCGGGTTAAGCGGTTAAGCGTCTGCCTTCGGCTCAGGTCATGATCCCAGGGTCCTGGGATCGAGCCCCGTGTCGGGCTCCCTGCTCAGCCGGGAGTCTGCTTCTCCCTCTCCCTCTGCTGGCCCCTCCCCCTGCTTGTGCACGTTCTCGCACTGTCAAATAAAAAAATAATTTTAAAAAATGTTAAAGAGAGTCCTTCTGGCTGAAATGAAAGGACACCAGACAGTAACTCAAGGCCACATGAAGAGACATGGGAACATTGCAAAAGTCACTACCCAGAAAAATGTACAAGCTGCCATTACTGCAGTTTTGGTTTGTAACTCCTCTTCTTTTTCTGTGTGATTTAAAAGGCAAATACATGGAACAATAATTATAAATCTGCCAGTGGGCACACAATACATAAAGATGTACCTGTGACCACAGTGGGGGGAAGGATGAAGATGTATAAGAGCTGAATGTTTGTATACTGTTGAGACTCAACTGATATTCTTCAAACCAGGGTGTTATAATTTTAAGATTTTAATTGTAACTTTCAAAGAAACTACTAAGAAAATACTGAATAAGTATACAGAAGAGGAAAGAAGAAGGAAATTAAAAATGGTACCAAACAAAAATCAATACAAAAAAGGCAGTGGAGGACTTGGGAAGAAAAACCATACAAGACACACAGAAAACAAATGACTACTGGGTAGAAGTAAATCCTCTTTTCAATGTAAATGGACTAAACTCTCCAATTAAAGGGCAGGGGTTGGCAGAGTGCATAAAAAAACGTGATCCACCTACTGTATGCTGTGTACAAGAGGCTCACTTTATTTTTTTTAAAGATTTTATTTATTTGACAGAGAGAAGGAGCGAGCACAAGCAGGGGGAGCGGGGCTCAATCCCAGGACCCCGGGACCATGACCTGAGTCAAAGGCAGACGCCCAACTGACTGAGCCACCCAGGCGCCCCCCAGGAGACTCACTTTAGATACAAAGACACAAAGAAAGTGAAAGGGTGGAATCAGATATTCCATGCAAATTGTAACCAAAGAGAGCTGGGGTGCTTCTATTATTATCACACAAAATGGACTTTATGTCAGGTGCACTTTGGACAAGTTATCACTTCTCAAGATCATGTATGGAAGGGTTGTACCTGCCTGGTTCATATGAAGGGCTGAGGTTTCTGCCTTGCAATCTCTAAGTGCTTATTCAATAGAAAAACTGTTTAATTCTTCTCAGTCTTTGTGGCGAGGACTCACTGGATCAGCCGGAGACTATTTTTATTTATTTTTATTTTTTATTTTTTTAAAGATTTTATTTATTTATTTGACAGAGAGAGACACAGCCAGAGAGGGAACACAAGCAGGGGGAGGGGAGAGGGAGAAGCAGGCTTCCCGCGGAGCAGGGAGCCCAATGCGGGGCTCGATCCCAGAACCCTGGGATCACGACCTGAGCCGAAGGCAGACGCTTAACAACTGAGCCACCCAGGCGCCCCTGGAGACTGTTGTTAATTGTTGGCCCCAGGGGTGTCCACTAACTCCCTCATCTCCTTCTTGTCCTTGCATGAGACCCAGGACCAGCTCCTTTCCTTATCCTGCTCTGCCTTTTCTTCCTGAGTACCCTTTTCGTGTCCTAGATAATCTACTCCTTGTTTTACATTTACGTGTTGATCCTCTGCTTCAGGCAGGGGTCTGTGTCTGTGTGGGCCACTGAGGGCACACAGCAGCATTGCATAAGCGCTGGGGAATGAATCAATGTCCAATAGGCAGCTCACACTTACACGTCCAAACACCAACCCCACTGCCGTGTCCCCTCTTCAGCCCATGGAACTCTGCCCTCCAGTCACTGAGGCCAAAATATTGGTCTGTTTCCCTCGTACCCATGGAACCCACGTCAGGACATCCCATGGCCCCACCTGCCTGCCACACCCCACCTCCCACCGGTCAGATCCTGCTAGAACCCGGCAGCTCATGACCCTTCACCTCTGCAGGCTCTGCTCACATGGCACCAGGACCATCCTAGTCCGCCTGGCATCCCTCCCATACTTTGTTTGCTTTCCCAGCCTTCTCCCCAGCCTCACACTGACACTGGGCACCCCATATAATTTATGTCGTTAACCTGTTTGTGGTCTGTCTCCCCCACGCAAACATCACTCCAGGTAGGGTGACCAACGGTCCCCATTTGCCGGGCTTTAGGGCTGAGAATCCTGACCCAATCAGCCCCTCAGTCCAGGGCAGACCCCTTGGTCCCCAGCTGCAAGGGCGGTGATCTTAGTTCCTGGCGCTGAGACAGTGGGGCACCCAGTGGGTACTCAGCACCTGCTCGAGAATGGGTGAATGAATGAATGGGGCACACAGATGTCCCAAAGGCTCCCTGCAGTTCAACTGTGAGCCCTGGCATGGGTGACCTAGCCACCTACCTTTGGTCCTCCCCATCCTGGGGCCTGAGTTCATCAGCATTTTACTCCTGGGCAGGAGTGGCCTGAGGTGGGAATGGGATTTCTGGCTAGGGTAGGGGTCGGTGTTACTGGCCAAGGCAGGCCTGCTGGGCCATGGGGCGCTGGGTGTGGTCTAAGGTCTTGGTGTGGAGGGTGGATCACTGAGCACCACTGCCACTTGGTGGCAGCACACACGGGGACAGCTGGGAAGCTGGGACCCAAGCATGCCCCGCCTCACCCCATTCCCTATAGCCCGAACCTCCTTGAGAGGAACACAGTCATGGCCTCTTTCTGGGCCTCAGTTTCCCCCATCTGTGGAAGGCCAGGACAGCAGCAAGTCTTGAGGGAGCTGACACCCGCTCAGCTCCTGCAACCCCTCCCTGCGCCACCTCCAGGCAGGCCAGGGTTCCCAGGGTTAGCCCTGGGTCAGAGCCAGGGTTTCCCTGCCTGGCCACAGTGCTCCTGGATGGTCCAGGTGAGGGGGGCAGGAACTCCGGGCAGGGGCAGCCCGGCCATAGCCGGACTCTGGTCCCTCACCCCGCCTGGGCCTTGATGGGGAGGGAGCACCACGGGCAGACAAGGGCCTCCAGAGGACCCCATGCCCCCAAATCCCGGGCAAGGAGGAAACGTGGTGAGCGCAGAGCCACAGGCTGCCAGCCCCTAAACCCTGACCCAAGGTAGGAGTGGGGGGCCTGGGACTCGAGGGTGAGGCCTCCCTGACCCCCACTCCCCCAGCATCCCATCCCTCTGTCAGTTCCTGGCTTGACCCGGCCACTTTATGGGGACGCTAGAGGGGGCCTTCAGGAAAGGGCGCCCCCTGCTCCGCCCCCCTCCTTCGTGGGGCTGAGCACCAGCAGGGGTGGACAGGTTGAACACCCCTCTTCCTCCCACCCTCCCTCCCACACATGGCCTGGGGGCAGGCCATCGGGGTATTGGCATCTCCAGCCTATGGGGTGTCCTCGGGGACAGCCTGGGGGCTTGCACGTGGTGGGGGGTGAGCAGGCTCCATCTGCAGTCTGTGGATCCACCCTCACCTCTGCAGGCAATCCCACCTCCCGCCTGGAGGCCCCATACGAACAGGTACACCTGGGCCCCGTAATCTTCCCCACCAGGCCACTTGCGCCAAGGGGCTACCTTGCCCCTCAGACCCCATCTGTGTCCTCAAGGGAAGAGGTGAGCTAGGTGGACAAGTGTTTACTGAGTGTGGGGCGCACTGGCTTGCCCCCCCCAGCTTGCTGGGGACAGCAGCTGCCATAAAGGGAAGGAGAAGGAGGGACAGCGGAGCCAGGCCCTGGGGGTAGGAGGGCATTTGCAGATGACACAGCACAGCCGACCTCCCTGGGCGCACGGTGGTCAGGCACAGAGGATGTCCAGCCTCCGATGATGGCAGCTCAGGAGGGGCGGCCTGGTGGTCCTTGGGAGCCAGCATGACAGTCTGTGGGGCACATCTGACAGCCCAACTTCCGGGTGGCCCCCGACCTGGGGTGTGGAAATCCCACTGCAGGGCCAAGGGTCCCTGTGGGGTGGCCCTCGGAGAGTGTGATACTTGGGAGAACGGCACATCCCGGCACAGGGCGCCTGAGGCCCCAGGAAGTGGCCAGCCTTCCCTGGACGGGCCGGGCTGGGGGGCCGGAGAGTGGGTGACCTGACCTCTGGAAAGGCTGGTGCAGGGGGTCAGGTGGATGCCCAGCCTGGGCAGTAAGGGCCAACCAGCGTGGGGACCGCGGTCAGTATAGGAGTGCTCTGGGCGGGAGCTGGAGGTGGTCCTGAGCCAGCTGAGCTGCAGACCGTGTGGGGTCACACTCTGCTCTCCAGAGCCCTGGGAAAGCTCTGGCAGCCATCAGGCAGCGGCCAGGCCCTTGTCCTCGGGCCAGGGATGGCGGCCACAACCACAGGCGGTCCAGAGGGAGGCTGCACCAAGCTGAGACAGGGCAGGTCAGAGGCCAGGCCATCTGGGAGAGAGGGCAGCCCAGCCAGCCATTCTGTAGGCCTTCACCAAAGGGGTTCAGGAAGGGTCTGAAAGTCCTTCATCTGACCCAAAGCCCCGGGCCCAGCCTGAGGGCCCCCAGGGAGCTGCGCCTCTGGGGAGCCAGAAGGAGGCTGGCCCCATAGCCTGGGTTCAGGTGAGCCACCTCCAAATTCGGAGGCCTGGCTTTTGCTGCCAGAGGCCTGGGGGCCCAGAAGTGAGCTGGTCTCCGCCGCACCCCAGCATTCAGCCAGGGCACTCGCTCGTCCTTGTTGGGGCTCCTGGCCTCAGTCTGCTGTCCCCTGGGTGGCAGCTGGAAAGAGAGGAATGGGGGTGCTGGTTCAGCCTACCCAATGCCAACCTTGTCTGGGGGCTCACCCTCCTCCAGTCACCCCCCGACGGCGGCAGGAGGAAGGAGAGGGAGCTGCAGACCCCAAATGCTCAGGGCTTACTGGGCAGGGCTGCCCAGTCCTGGAGAGCCAGTGCATGGCAGCAGGCCAATGTCCCGCCTTCAGGGGCAGTCCACCTGGACCCCAAAAGCAGGATGCACTCCCACTTGAGCCGGGCCCAGCCCCTCTGCTCTCTGGCCTGTCCCTGGGGTGCTGGGACCCACCCAGGGCGGCCCCGGAGGCTCTGGCAGTGGCTGAGACCTGCTCCCAGGTCACTGGGATGGTAGTGGGTGAAGCCCCAGTCCAGCCCCAGGGCGACCATCACCCTTTGGGCTGTGATCTGCTAGAGGGGACCTTTGCTGGGGAAGGGGACCCAGACTTGGCTGAAAAACTCCTCTGGGGTTGGAGGAGGTAGAGGACACAGGTCTCAGAGACGCTCCCCAGGCTCTAGGGCATTTCCAGTGGGGCAGGGGGCAGGACTGGGGCTGCCCTGGAGCCTGGAGACCTGGGCCGGCCGCTGGCCCCGCCCCCGCCCATCCCCCTCTGGCCCCTCGGCTCCTGCAGTCTTCTCTCCGCTCAGCAGCCAGAGGGCTCTTGCCCATGCAGGTGCCGATGCCTGCTCCCCACTTACATCCCGTCGCCCCTCTCAGGGCACCCAGGCAGAGGCCACCCTCCTGGGCCACACACAGAACCCCCATGCTTAGCTTTGTCTCCTGCTAAGCCCGAGGTCCCAGGAGTCTGGGCCTAAGTGACTTGGCTGGGTGAAGGGGGGCTGAGGGACATCCCGAGTTCCTGGACAGTTGGAACCAGAGCCCTGGTCAGGCGTGGTGGACGCTCAGGAAGTTCCTCCCCAACCAGTGGTGCAGTGACATGGGGGATGGGCGCTTGCAGTGGACCTCCAGGGCCCTTGACCTCCCAAGTCAGGGGTGGGCCCTGGCCGGTCTGCCTTCGCCTTGGCTCAGAGCCTGGCCAGACTTCCAGGCAGGTGGCCCCTCTGTCCCCCACCAATGCCCAGTCTCCTGTGCAGGGCTCACACCCCCACCCTAAGCGTGGGAGACAGGGATCAGGCTCGGAGCTGAGGTTGGAGTCCAGCCCTCGTCCTCCCGCAGTCCTGGGGCCCGAGACCCAGCGGGGGCACTCACTGCACTGAAGGTCACAGAGCTGCTGGGGGGCGGAGAAGAGCACATCGGTCCTCCAGCCCTGTGGGCGCGGGGCAGCTCGGTCAGCCCAGCCTGTGGCCTCCCCCGCACCCTGACTGCATCCCCCAGAGCGACGGCCTGGGGAGGCTGCTGGGCTGACAGGCCCCCCCGAGGAGCTTTGTTGGTTGATGACAGGGAAGCAGGTTTGGGACTGGAGTAGGGGGTGGGGGCTGGGTGGGGCAGCACCACCCACCTGGATGCAGGTGCCGGGCACACATGCCTTGTCCCTGGGAATGTTCACAAAGGCGACCACAGGGTCAGCCGTGAGGTCCCCCTGGGTGGGAGAGGGGTCGGTCATAGGCAGCAGGGTGGGGGGGACTGGCTCACACAGCGGAGTGGCCTGCACCCCTCCACACCGGGCGGCCTCCAGGGGCTGACTCAGGGCCTTGTGGACAGGAAAGGGGGCAGCCCCCCTCCCACCGGGCTCACTGAGGCCAAGGGGCGGGCCGTGGCCAGGAGAGCCGGGCGGCAGGCGGGGGGCCGTGACTTCCTCTGGCGACACAGGTGCACCTGGAAATGGGCAGCGCTGGGCGAGAAGAAGGTGACCCGGAGGTGGCCCTGAGAAGCTGCTGGCTGGACGGTCATCTTCCAGGCTGTGGGGGTCGAGGGCTGAGGCCCAGCACCGCCCCCCCACTTGCCCTCCTCCCTGCCACTGACCCAGCACCCTGTTATCCCACCTGCCTGACCCAGACGCATCCCGGGAGCAAAGGAAAGGGCGGTATTTCCTGCATCCGCAAGGCAAAGGCCCCAGGCCGGCCTCCCCGCCCTGCCGCCCTGTGGACAGCTCACCTTGGAAGCCTCGCTCGTGGAAAGGGCACCTCACCCAGAAGCCCCGGCTGGTGGAGAACTGCGGAGAAGTCTTGAGGCCTAAGGCCACGGCAGTGTGCGGGGCTGGCTGGGGGCTGGGACAGGCTGGCCTCCTTCCCCCAGGTTCCCTTAGCTCCACCCTCAGACCAGGATGGGGGTCGGAGGGGTTCCTGGGAGGCGGGACCCCAGGGCTGGGCAGGGGCTGGGAGTGTGTGTGGCTGCATGCCCCCTGCCCCCGAGCCCCGGACCCCTCTACCTCCTCCTCGCCACCCCGCATTACGTGCTGGTCGCGCACAGGGCAGGCTGCGGCCTGGCCCACTCACCTTCAGGCAGAGCTGGGGCTGTGTGTCCACCAGCGGGTACTGCACCTGCGGGGGCTCAAGTCAGGCCCCCGCCATCCACGCCCACCCCCGACCCCGCCGGGGGTACTCACCCTGCCGCGCGCCGGCCGGCCGGAGTGCTCCAGGCTGTGGCAGAGGGCCCCTGGCCCCGGGCGCCAGCACAGGCTCACGTGACCACTCACGGGACAGGCAGGCTCCCAGCTCAGTGCCTGGTCCCCCGGGTGGTAGCGGATGGCGTCCCACAGGGCCTCTGTCTCTGCAGGGACCCTCGCCCAGGGGCTCAAGTCAGCGGAGCCCCGCCCCCGTGTGTGTGTGTCCCGGGGCGCGTGCGGCGTCCCGGAGCAGAGCCGAGAGCGGGCAACCCTCCTCCGCCCCTCGGACAGCCGCTCTCAGAACACTTGCTTCTTCCACGCGAGCCAGGCCAGGGCGCGTGCATCCGCCCCGGGCGCACACGCCCTCGCGCACCCACGCGTCTACGCACAGACCGCCACAGGAAAGGGCTTGCCTGGGACTCGCCTTCGGCTACATGCCGTCCGCGGCAGGCTCACGGGGGCACGGGGCCTGTCCGCACGCTTCCTCCCCACTGTGACCCCCTCCGGCTGAAGCCGGCCGGCCCCCACCCTGCCGGGCACGGCTGACCTCCTCTCCCCCACCCCTACTCCACACCGTAGGGCACTTGCCATCTTCGAAGGGACAGGCCTGCATCCGCACGGCGTCAGGGGTCGCAGACCAGCCCTGCGGGAGGGGCTGGGGTCAGCGCAGGCCCTGCCCCTCCCTCCGTCCCCTCCCGGCAATGAAGGCCACACTCTCACTGACCTCAAGGCACAGGCAGGGCAGTTCTTGACTGTAGGGCAGAGACACGGTGCGGGACATCCTGTTCACTGTCACCTGCGTGGAGTTGAGGGCTTAGGGGCTGGGGGCCCAGTGGGTGGGACTGGGCCAGGCTGGGAAGGCCTGGGGTGGGGGGAGGGGGAGGGGCGTGGTCTGGGGGGCTGGGCCGTTGGGCGGGCCGTGGGCAGGGGTGTGTGCTCTGGGCCAGGGGGCGGTGTCCAGGGCTTGGGCCTGGGCTCACCCGCACGGGGGCACCCACATCCTCGCAGGTGAACCACTTGAGGCAGAGCCGGACGTAGTAGTCGGGGGCCCCGGGGGCCTCGGGCACCTGGACCAGAATGACCTTGCGGCTGCGGTCCACCCAGTAAGAGAACTTCTCGGCTATAAAAGGGCGGCACTTGGGGGCCATGCTGGGACTAGCGGTCATCGGACAAAGGTCTCCACCTGTCCTGAGAGCCTCCAAATGGTGACCCCTTGCTAGACCCAGGTATTTGGGAGTCGCCCACCTGAGGACCCATCATGACTTCCCAAGTGGGGCAGGAAGAAGACCCCCATGGGAGGGTGCGTGGGGGTCTCCCCAGGAGCTGCGGGGCTGCAGTCCCACCTGAGGATGGGTCCTCACCAAAGCAGACAGGCACGTTCCTCCCCACGTCCTCGTCTCTGCAGTCTGCAAATGGCACAGCAATGGGGGGCCCAGCCACTCTGTCCCCAGCAGCTGTACCCTAGTCGAGCCTCTGCCCTTGTGCTTTACAGAAGTCTCTCCTCTCCCAGGGAGGCTGTGCCCCCAAGTGAAGCGAAAGGCACTTGCTGCGAGCTGCCCAGCATGGGGCTCTGCCTCCTACCTCAGGAGTCCCACCCCAGGTTGTCCCTAGAAGCCCTGTCCCTAGGGTACAGTGGCAGCTGTACCCGGGGCGGACCCATGGGCTCCCACCTTCCACATGGTACTGCTGGTCCAGCTGGACCCCACAGAAGTGGGGGACGGTCCTCAGGGTGACGTAGAGGCTCTGAGCCACACTCACTTCGAAGCAATCAAAATGCACCTGGAGCTGGGCATGCACAGGTGTGAGCCACGTGGACCTGGGGTCTATAGCTACCCTTCCCTGGCCAGGCCAGCTGCACCTCGCATAGCTGGAACCCAGGAGAAGGGTCCCCTGTCCTCAGGCCTTGGGTGGATCGGGTGGATCCAGGAAGGGAGGGCAGCCAGGAGCAGCCAGGAGACAGCTGCTCCTGCCTGGCAAAGGCTTGGGGCGGAACCAGCAGGTCTGGGTCAGGCCCTGGCCTCACCTGCCGCCCCACCTGCCGTCGACGGGAGGCCCTGGAGACCCTCACACTCTGACACTGAGTCTCCTGGGTGTCGAGATTCATGGAGCAGGCCTCCAAGCCCCGCAGGCTCTCTGGGTGAAGGGAGGGGCCAGACAGAGCTGGTCAGACCAGGGCAGAGTCCTCTTTCTTCCCCTCCTCTCTGGGAAGTGCACTTAGCAGGGTCCCCCAGCCCCACCCTGCCCCTCCAAGTGTTGTGGAGTTAAAAGAGCCGGGAGCCTGCCACCCCGCTTCCTGGGTGTTCCCACCATCACAAGCAGCATGGTCCCTCCCCCGCCCCCGAGGCTGCCTCTCACCATGCAGTGTGAGGGAAGCCTGCACGCGCAGGAGCAGGGAGCAGCCCTCGTGGGGGGCACACTTCATGGCAGTGGAGAGTGTCAGGGCCTCCAGGACCGACGGGGACATGGACGTGGGGGGTTGCCGGCAGAAGCTGTTAAAAATGTTCCCTGGGGAGGAGAGAAGGAGGGTGAGTGCCACAGGGCTCCCCAGTGCCTGGGTAAGGCTTTGTGGGTGGCCCGGCCAGGGGAGGGAGCTCTGGTAGGGCATGTCTGGGGAGGGGTCCTCACTATCTTGCCACAGTGCAATCAGCGAACAGTGGACCCACCCTGGAGCCCGCTGTCTTTGGGCGTCAGGAGCGGGGCCGGGCTGGGGAGCGGACCTGAGCGTCGGGGGCAGCTGGCATGGGGCAGGGGGGCCGGCCTCCTGACAAGCTGGCAAGCCCATTGCCACCCTTCAAAGGCCTGCGGGGGCACCTGGGTCATGACCCCCAGGTCATCAGAGCCCAGGGCTCTGTTCACAGGCCAGCAGCTGGACTGGCGCAGGTGAGACTGGCCCCAGGCCTCGGTGGAGCTGGGGTCTCACTTCCAGGCACGGGGCTGAGCACAGTTGTGGCCTTCGCTTGGCCAGGCTTGCAGCTGAGGACTTGGAGGACAGTGGGGTTAGCTCCGTGAGCCGTGGAGCCCTGGGAAGGCCTGTGGCCCACAGTGTCAGCAGCCCAGGTGCCCCCCTGCACCCAAGGTTGGGGCCTATCTGCAGGCATGAGAGATGGCGTCCAGGCCTGGCGCTATGGGCGGTGGAGGAAGCAATCCCGAGGTGGGACCGCGTGTCCAGGAAGGGGAAGGGGTGTGTGCTCAGTGGGTGCTTCGGGGGCCCAGAACTCCCAGGGGCCCCCAAGGCAGACCCTAGGAGATCTGTCAGGAAGATCTCACTGGGGCTAGAACTCCAGGGGAAGTGCCGGCCCTAGGGAGGAGAGGGACCCCCCTTCAGACCAGGCCAAACTGCTAACTCGCAAGTGAAGGGGGAACAGAGCAGGATGGCGCATCCAAGACGCCTCCACGGAGAGACTGAGGCCGAAATGGACGCTCCTCAGAGGCCCCAGCCCTGAATTCAGGCAGGACTTGAAGGTGCAGAGCAGCTGCCCCTCCTGGGGCCCAGGGCCACAGGCTCTTTCTGCTCCAGGACCTTCTCCAGCAACATGCAAGCAGGTGGGCTACGGAGAAGGCAGGTTGCCCCAAAGCCAGGTCTCTGCAGGAGGCAGTGGTGCTGCCCCCGGGGCCTGGATGAACATGCTGTTGGTACTCGCCATGACGCCATGGAGCCTGTCACTCGACAGAGCTCATACGGACTGGCTTCAGAAAGAGACTCAAAGGGACGGCAGGAATTACAAGACCCGAATATGTTCATGGGAAAGAAATCCAGTTCTGTGGATCCCACTGTGGCCTAGACGGAGTCATGGAGATCCGCTTTACCCTCCTGCCTGACACAGCCTGGAAAACCAGGTGGAATACGTGCAGAATGGTTTCAGGACACAACTTGATGAAAACTAAACTCACAGATCCAAGTTGGTGAGCGCTAAGTATAAGAAAGATGGAAAAAGGGCGCCTGGGTGGCTCTGTTGGTTAAGCGACTGCCTTCGGCTCAGGTCATGATCCCGGAGTCCCGGGATCGAGTCCCGCATCGGACTCCCTGTTCAGCAGGGGGTCTGCTTCTCCCTCTGACCCT